TTTCACTAAATTAGATGTAATAATTTTCAATAAATTTCAAAACCTAGTGGAAGTGGCAACAGGGCTTACACCGGCATGGATATTTACGTTGTCTTTTACAAGCGCACAGCGGCTTACATATTTATTAATTGATAAACATATAGACCAGAGCATACTGGCGCATTCGTTTGAAAAATTGTTTTAATTCGTAATTTTTTTTTAAAAATGTCCGGAAGGCTTTCCTGATTATAAAAGTGTAAGATGACACTCGATATCTGTCAATTAAGTCAGAAAAAATGCATTTTTTGCAATGAATTAATTTTTTTATATTCTTTAGGATATTTCGAATAAAAAAGTCCTTACACCCATCATCGTATCTTTAACCCTTTAATTGTTATGAATGTTTTAAAATCCGAAATTGACGAAAATTCTAATTTTCTTGAATTAAATAATATACCTTAAAATTTTAAATGCTATAATTTTAAATTTTTTACCGAAAGCGAAAGCCCGATGACGCGCTAAATCAATTTTTTGCTGTTCTTCAGCGGTAATAAGTTAAAAAATTATTATTAACATTTTTCATAACACTTTGTTATATTTGTCGATTAATAGTTTTGTATCATGTGATTTTTTTACTTTTTTAGATACTTTCGATAACTTTTTTATTGATTGAAGTTAATAGAAATGTTCCATCCACAAAAAAAAATCATTGCCAAGAGCTGTCTAAGAAATAAATTTTTCTCACTTTTTTTTCAATAAGATAAAAGAAGACAAACTCACCTGGTTTTTATTTTAAAACAGAGTACGCAATATATATGTATTCAATTTTTTCTATGGTTGTTAATTCTTTTCCACTATGATTATTTAATAGTTATATTCATCTATTAAGAAAATTTTTACAAAAAATTATAGTTTGTACATCTAACTAGTTTTTACATGAAATTGATTTTGGCAACATTCAATTAAACATCCGCATAATGCCACACACGTCATATTTAGTTTTTGACACGAACAAGCTTTCGTTGCACAATTTTTTTTACAGTTGCACGGTTTTGCTAAGTCTTCAGGTAATGGTGGTATTGTTAAATACAGTGGCTTTATTTGGTTATCACAGAAAACATAACCAAAACCAGAGAAATCTAAAGATCACGACAAGTGCATTTGGCCTTTTTATCGTATTGAAAAAAAAAGGTTGAAGAAGATTTTACTTCTCAGGCAGTATCTGACAATAATTTTTTCATGAATAAAAATAAATATTTCTGTTAACTTTAATAAATAAAAAAGTTATCAAAAGTATCTAAAAAAGTAAAAAAAAATCACATGATACAAAACTATTAATCGGCAAATATAACAAAGTGTTATGAAAAATGTTAATAATAATTTTATTAAACTTATTACCTCTGAAAAACAGCAAAAAAATTGATTCAGCGCGTCATCGGGCTTTCTCTTACCCATCTTATACATTGAGTTGGAAGTGAGATAGAAGTACTTCTCTCTAAAAGTACACGCGCGTAGGAAGCATATTGTTATAACGTAAAAAAAACATAACAACAAACAAAATTTTCAAAATGTATTTAGGTTATTTTGTTTAATATAGTTTGAATATTCGGTAAAAAATTTAAAATTATAGCATTTTAAATTTTAAGGTATATTATTTAATTCAGGAAAATTATAATTTTCGTCAATTTCGGATTTTAAAACATTCATAACAATTAAAGGGTTAAAGATACGATGATGGGCGTAAGGACTTTTTTTATTCAAAATATCCTAAAGAATATAAAAAAAATAATTCATTGCAAAAAAGCATTTTTTTGGCTTAATTAATTTTTCGTTCTTTAAACAATAATATCAACAGATATCGAGTGTCATCTTACACTTTTATAATCATGAAAGCCTTCCGGACTTTAAAAAAAATACGAATTAAAACAATTTTGCAAACAAATGCACCACTATGCCCTGCACTAATAAGTTGTATCTGCGTAAAATTCTTCTCTGTATCCCTTCTCTTACTTATTATATTTTATCACTTACTGCTTATATCTCTGTTATCTCTGTATTATTATACCCATGCAGATCAGAATGTCTAGTGATGGTAGGCAGATTTCTATGTATCTGCATCAAAGACTAAAATAGATAAATACAGAGAAGTGGGAGAATATTTTTAAACTTTTAAACACTTCACGGCAATGGGCATCAATAATGCGCACGGCCGCCTTTTGAATTGAGACCCCAACTTGAATATTTTCTGTCAACTGTCAACTCACTTTTTCATTACATGACGTTACTGTGTCCTTTGCAATCGTGATGAAGCCACCGTGTTGTCTAAGAACCGTGGTAACCTCCCATCCCAGGTCGCTTCTTCATTTGCTTAAAGCATGATTTTTATTAACTCCCATCTCTTGTAAATTCAAAGTAATTTATACCTACTTACTATATTAAGGGTCGATCTTTTCACCTCTGAGTAAAGTTACATGTAGGTTTACTTGACAGATTAACAAACAATAGCTCTATAGTTTAATCAGCAAGTAGTTACTTTTAACTTTACTCAGAGGTCAAAAACTGGCCCTAAGTCTTTTTGCTCTAGTAGTGATCGTTTAATGTCTAGTTTAATAAGATTATTTTATTACCCACGTTGTGTTTTAATAATTATTTGTGTATGAAATAATACACAAAAATAACTTTAACAAGAGGAAAATTTAAATTACAAACTGAAAGACAGCAAAGAGGCAACGGTAGTTTAGTAGGTGTAAAAAATTACAATTTAAGGGTGAAGCATAAATACTACAAAATTACTTCCAAGAGTAAACAAAAGTAGCATTCATTCATACTTTTAACAATTGCAGGTAGATACGAGGAATACATATTCTAAACTCTAACGCGCGAAGTTGAGACAAAGCAATCGAAAAATATCTCACAATAACACAAAATAATATGAAGAGCCAGGAGGAGAAATGATGGTCCATGAAACATGATTTCCAGAAAACACAAGTTTTAGGTTTGAAACTTAATAGCTTTTTATTGAAAAGTCATAGCATTAAAAATACTTTCTTAGGCAAATTATTTATAACATTTAAATAGACGTTATGTTTAATTAAAATAAAATATGTAAAAACTAAAGTATTATTAGCAAAATCTCAGAGCAGTATCAATAAATACTAGGAAAAAAGATTAGAGTCCAGTGACATTCATCAATTAGATAAGGTCATTTTAAAATAACAATATTAATTATGTGGCAATCTTCGTAGACAGTTTTAGGCTTCATGTCCAAAAAATTTAGGAAGCTTTCCTATGTATCTATACTTATCTAACGAAAGCGGCAAGGGATCTAAAATAAAAATAAAACAAGAGCTTATTAAATGGGGTTTATGTACCATAATTATATTTTTACTTTCCATATCTACTCTACGCATTGCCAAAGAATACGCTCCCCACAATTTCAAACAACGACTAAAAAGCCAATAAATTATTAATAGTTATGCAGCAAATAAAAGTGGACCTTCAGCGTTTTTACCCCTGACGCGTAAACATTCATCGTTTATTCCTAGTATACCGTATTTTAAAGCCATCGCTACTTGTGACTGTCAACGTTATTTCCTCGTTTTAGTTCGGGATAATAAAGTGGAGGTGCAAAACTACATCTTGCACTCATTACTTTATTTTTGACAGAAAATAGACTTTCAACTTTCATCCCCCTGATCCTTTATATGTATTTTACAATAACTGATTTTCTGAGAGTTAAAAAGCGTCCAGACAGTTTAGCAATACATTCGTTCCTGTACTACAGATGTCTTCGATAAGCCAAAGTATTAAATACAGGAGGCCAATGTAAACGGACTATAAACGTTTTCATGACATTTTACATTTTTAAAAAATATTTTTTCTAGCTGTTGTTTTTTCTTCAAGCGGATTTATAATATTCAAAGTTGGAATAGCCATGTGTGAGTTAATTAAATGAAAAGGTTACTTTGGTTTTGTAATATGTAACGATCATAAGATAGAATATTTCATTTTATTATTTATATTTTAGTTGGAAATCATGTTATTGCTCCTTTTTTCATTAATTGTAATTTAGATAATTATTTTACACTGCTCCAAAATAATGTTCCAAATTTAACATATTTTTAACCTGGGCAAGCAAACCAACAAGTTCCAACAAATGTGATAAGGTTCCAGCAGGATGGAGCACCACCATATTACCAAAAGAATGTCCAAATCTGTCGAGGCGAGGATCGATAGAATGACCAGCACGATCACCTGATCTTACGCTATTATAATTCGTCTAATGAGGATATGTGAAAAGTATGCTATACAAAACTAAACCACGTGATTCAACGATTACGTCGGTTACGTCTCCTACATTAAGATTGATGTTTTTTTTTATATTTTACATTATCAAGAACGAAACACTATTAATAATTAATTTGAAAATTACAGCATTTTTGAATATAGAATGAAAAGAGCTTACAAATTCCTATTTACAAATTTGGGGGTTGCAACTGTCACTCGAAGGGGTTGAAGGAAGGAGTGAAATTTTCACGTTGCAGGATGTCATTTTATAATTTAATATTGAAGAGTTTCGGGATTTTTTATAAATATGCACAGTTTGATCTACTGAATATATTCCATTTGGCTATTACACACTGTATAAAGATATTGAAACTTGTAATTTAATTAGCACTATGGTAACGTTGCCATTTTTAAGACATAAATTGTTATAGTTATAAAGTGAATGTTTTTGTACATTTAACGAAATTTTATTCAAAATTTTTTTGGGAAATTTACCTCTTCGGATTTTTCGATGGGCACCTTTTCAGTATTCTTATTTTTTTTTACTTCCGTCTTCCCCAAAATTCCCAATACATTTATTTTTTCCGGAGATGATTTCCTCTGAACCAAACTTGAGCCCGCAACCCATAAGAATGAGAAATTAATTTTTCCATCGTCCGGAAAACAAATTCTACTGCATCGAAAGTATAAAGTTAAATTACCACTATCGTACTATCGTACCTCTACAGACTGTCAAAGGTATCCCCGACACTCATTTGTTTTGGCCGTGGTATTCAGAGCTCTTTGATCGAAACACAATCATTTCGATATCTGATAGGGAAGGGGAAAAACCATGCGGTCGAAATCTTTATGTTTATAATCAAGCATGGCAGCGGGATCTGTCACAATTTGCTTGTTTTTGCAGGATGATGTGAATCATGTGAATGAAAGGTGACAAAAAAGTGCATTTAACGGAATTTTTAAATATTTTTAATTGATATCCTGAGTTCCCAACTAGGCTGTGACAATATATAGTATTATTTATTTTAGTCAAATAAAAAGGTGAGTGTTTTTTTATTAATATTTTTTTTGTGATAAATTTTATAAACAAATCTGTCGGTCGAGAAATGTTATGTTAAAGTTGAATAATTAGGTTTACTAATAAATTTAAAATCTAAATCTTTCTTTAAATACGGAGTTTTAAAATATTTTTGATGATATCCTGAGTTCCCGACGAGGCTGTGACAATACGAGTACATAGTATCATTTATTTTAGTCAAATTAAAAAGGTTTATTAATATTTCTTTTTGTAAACAAATTTTATGACCAAATCTGTCGATCGAGAAATTTTATGTTAAAGTTGAATAATTAGGTTGACTAATAAATTCAAAATCTAAATCTTTCTTTTAAGGTGAGTACAGCACCCCCTTATAATTTTCGGACAAGATTATCTCAAAAAGTATTTTTTTTTTAAGTTAAAATTTTGGCTTAATAAATTAGGCAATAATATCTAGAATATGCTTATATTTTAAAATCTTAACTATTTTCACTTTTCAAGAAAAAAAATCAAAGGGCTTTAAATTTTGAAATATCATAATGAAAATAAATGCATTCCTCAACAGCACTATTCTTAATATAATCCCTAAATTTAAGCTCTTAATCTCTTGTTAATGATTTTTTAAAATTCGCCGAAATTAGTGGCTGAAACGCCTCGTTAAGTACTATTTTCTGGTAAATCATTGCAAGAAACGAATGATGACTCAGAGTGTACGATACGATAGTTACAGTCGCGTTAGACCAGAAAGCAGCACTTAACGAGGCGTTTTAGCCACTCATTTCGGCGAATTTTAAAAAATCAGTAACAAGAGATTGAGAGCTTATATTTGGGGATTATATTAAGAATACTGCTGTTGAGAAACGCATTTATTTTCATTATGATATTTCAAAATTTAAAGCCCTTTTATTTTTTTTCTTGGAAACTGAAAATAATTAAAATTTTAAAATATAAGCATATTCTAGATATTATTGCCTAATTTATTATGCCAAAATTTCAACTTTTATAAAAAATTACTTTTTGAAATATGCTTGTCCGAAAATTATAAGGGGGTGCTGTACTCACCTTAAGTATGCGAAAAAAATAAAAAAAAAAATTTGGAGGCTAGGCTTTATAGTCCCACTAAATTATTATTATACTGAATAAAATAATTTTTCGCTTGATTTTAGAAACGAATGAGAACTGACAAAATTATTATCAAACGTAGTTACTTCTTCTGAACAGCTTATAATTTTTAAACGGGTAAAAATAGAAACATCCGGTTTTCACTAAACTATTCATCAAAATTTTGTCGGTACTTCCGGTAAAATGAAAAACAAAATAGTAGATTTTAACAACTTTTTTCTAAATGGAATTTGGAAGTTGAAGTATTTAGTTCTCATAAAGTTTTTGTAAAATAGTGTAGTACCTACATAACTGAACAATTATTATTTAAACGGAAACTTCAATAGTCAAAAATAGATTATGGATTATATTCGATAGATGTTTTTCCCAAAATGACAAAATTTTTATTATAAATGTTTCAACTGGAAAGGTCAATGTAATTTATTATACTAAATCATAAAGAAAAATATTTATAGATTCTAGATAGTTAGAAAGTGTTTAAAAAAAAATTAAATTAGTTTAAACAAAACTTGTTGCAATTTGAAACATTTCAGTGAATAGCGCATATTTTTAACTTTGATGGTTTAAAAGTTAAATTATTAAAATAATAGAAAATAGAGGATGTAACAATAGATGTTTAAAAGTCAAAATTAGGTAACTTATTTATAAAAATGCATACAAAAAATTATAAATTGAAAATCAATTTTTTCCAATAATTTGGAAACTGTTAAAAAATTATTTAACATAAAAATAGACATGCTGATTTGGGTGTTACTTTTGAATATAAACTATCTTTTGTTTCTAATATTAACGCTATTTTTCGTCTGTAAATAGAATGTTTGGCTTTTTATATCGGAACATGTGTGATTTTACTGATTTGAATACTTTAAATATACTTATGTCAGATACGCAGAACGCAGATGTTATCTGGAGTCCATTCTATGACGTACTTGAACATATTCTAAAATTGGAATTAGTTCATCTGAAATTTCTATAGATCCTTTCTTTAAAAATGAATGGAGTTTATGCACAAAGTGGGTTTCTTAGTAGGAATTACACTTCAAATGAGACATACTCGTATTGTAAGGAGCATAGGCTCTGATTGTGGCTGTTCACGCATTATGTTTTGTTTCAACACATAAACGATCCAAATTTTCTACAAACACTTAGATTTAATGTTCCAAGAGTGGGTCCAATATATTTACCGTGTTACCCCTTGAACAAATGTGTCACATGATGTTTTCAATTTGTAATACAGTAATGGATATGAAATATATTCGTTCAGTTGAACGCAAGGCTTACTTTTTCGTTTTGTAGCCTGTGCGTTAAATAGTAGTATGTGCAAGAAGAGTTAGCGGATATGAACAATCCACTTGAGTTGTACTCTATATTTTTTCTACGACCCACTAACTAACGAAAATCTACAAATTTTAAAAAGTTATTAAGACAAAATAACTGATTTTAAAATAATTTTTGACTTTTACTAATTTATAAAATATAATAAACCTAAAAAAGATTTAATTTATTTAGTCTCCAGCTAAGATTTGATCCCGGGCCTATCGCAGGGTATCCAAACGCTCTGATATTACCTCCATCGAGGCACTTACCGTTTTAGTTTAAATACTCGTAATCCAATTAGTTTCATATAGTTTGATTAAAATTTGTGATTTATTTGTAAATATTAACGAAATAAAAATAAAAATGCTATTATTTATCGATTCTACATATAATAACTTATTTTAATGTATATTTAGTCTCAATAACTAAAAAATATACTGACAATAATTTTGACATATTTATCACTTATTTAAAATTTAAAAAAATAATAACCTAAATATAAATTGTGATTTCAAATTTGTGCAGTGTTCTTATTAAGTAAATAGAATGGATATGAAATAATAATATATTCGTTCAGCTGAACGCAATGGCATACTTTTTTGTTTTGAAAGAAAAAATTATAAAAATATTAGCACCCCATAAAAATGTATGGATGGGGTTGTGATCTCCTGGACTCCTAAATTTTGTATACTTCAAAAATTGGTTATTCTTGACCAACAGATTAATTTTTAAACCTTTTTGGCTCATAGGTCTTTTTCGAAATAATCAGTGTTTTTTTAAACTACTATTTTAAATATACCGACAAACTTTTAGAGTGGTAGGGAACATAAAAAATAACCCTTTTTTGTTTCATAAATGTATGCTCGAAAAACGGTTCGTTTCCGAACTAGACTTTCCTTGTAGACAGGCCTATGGAAATTTTGGATACATGCTAAATGGTCAAAAAGACACCTCATTCATTAAACGTCTTTAACATATTGATTAAAAAATATATTTTTTTACTTTAACATCCTGTATCTCGGAAACGAAGAATTTTTGGATATACCGGGTCACAATGAGACCAGGATCATGTTAATATCTCTTTTATTTATGAAGCGATTGTTAAGGACCCAATTCTATATGGTCGTTCTCTTCCAAAAAAACAGTTGTTGCTTTTAGACTTTCACAGAGTAAAGTTGTTTAATTTTAAAAGTTTTGTAAAACGCTATTGTTGAAAGCTGGTGAGTCAGCAGAATAATTATTGTATTTTTTTGTTTAATAGAACCAGTTATTTACATTTTTATTTTATCTCACATTTAATCAACTTAAACAGCTATTGGGTTTAAATTTGGGACGGACTAACCTACTAGACATCATTTTGAATTGACACTTCTGACAGAGACAACCCAGCGGGACGTGTAACTCAATGTATTTTTTTTGTTCGGTAAAAGTTGTTTGGGCGATTGTAACCACAACCAGTCTATGATGGCGCCACTAGTAAATGGCGGGAAAATTTAAAAATGCTTTAGGGCAGGAAATTCAAACATGGATTCAGAAATAAATAGTCTTTCTATACAAATTTACAGGAGAAACAAAAACTATTGTTTCACTGTATATTAAAAAATGTAAAAGCTTCCAATGACATTAAATTTTTTATCATATAAATAATCATTTTTATAAAGGAAGTTTTAATCAGTTTAATATAAGCAGTGAATATAGTTTTTATTACTCTTGTAAATTTCGCTAAAAAAAACTTGAAAATTCTATTGATTATTAAATATTTAAACTTTGAAAAATAATATACCAAACTCTTTTTCTATAAATTATATTTTTGTAAGGTACAGAAAAACAAACTACAATTGCTATGTTTAGAAAGTACCTCGTATCATTTTGTGACAAATTACACAGTCATAGTTGTCATAATACATTTAAAAAATAATGTAACAAATATTTTATAAAGTATATCGATACCTTTTTGCCAGACTATCATAAGTGCCTTTTGTGAACAAATGTCGCTTACATTAGTCTGGCAAAAAGGTATCGATATGTTATGACTGTTTATTTTAATAGAAATTATGGAAACGAAACAAACACACACATAGACTCACACAAATGTATAAGGCCCGAGTCGAGTAAGTTCCCATCCCCAGCTAGACCCATTCCGTACACCCCCCAGCTAACTCCTCTTAGGGTCATCAAGATCAATAGATTTATATGTCATGCCTTCTAAAAGGGAATGAAGGATGACATACTATCATCATTTAAACAGGACGTTGCTGAAGGCTTACTTACCCCTGTTATGTCGTCTATTTGTGTATCTTGTGCGTCTGCATTCCTGTTGTTTCCCCAGTCATGTAAAAGTTTTCCTAGTCTCCTAACTTAGTGACTAGGTGGATCTTCTCCAACTAGTCGTCTAATCTATTCGATCTGCTCTGCAGCAGGAGGTACTTTTCAAACATAGCAATTAATAATAAACACTATTTAAAGATGATTACATTTTTGTAATTTTTTTGTCGTTGTTACTTACCAGGGTATACCTACTTTCCATACTCCCTTAGTAATAGATTAGCTTACGATGTTTGAATGA